CCGCTCCATCGCCCAGTACTGGCTGGACTGCCCCCAGCCCACGGAGGAGAGCGCCTGATGGGATCCCTGGACCCACCAGCAGCACAGCCCCAGCTAGACAGAAATAAACTGTGAGGGCCAAGCAGGCTGGAGAGCTCTGTCTGTCCTTCCATCCAACCGTCTGTGCCATGGTTTGTGCAGTCCTCGCAGTCCAAGGTCCCGTGTCCCCAAGGGCTGTGGTTGTCCCCCCAGTCTGTGCCAGATCCCTGATGTTGGCCCCATCCATGGTGTGCCTGTGGCAGCTCAGATCTGCTCTGCCAGCCAGTCCAGGGCCTCTTCCCACTGGAGGAGAGGGACGGTGCCGGCAGCTGCCAGCGGGGAGCAGCAGGGTCAGATCTCCATCTCCCCAGGATCAGTGCACAGCCCTACGTGTGAGGGGCTGAGCAGGGTTGGGTGCCCATCCAAGGCCCTGCCTGCTCTCCCAGCACTGCCCCGCTCACCTCTGGGCTCTGGCAGCCCTGGCCATGGTGGTGCTGAAGGGATGACCCTTGCCTCAGGGCTGGGGATGCGCTCAGGACCTGGCAGCTCTCGCTGCAGTGGGTGCTGCTGACACAAACTCCTGCTCCTGCCATGACTCCTGCCATGAGGGCACACAAACAAACCCTCACCTACCATCCCACCACCCCTCAAAACTCCAGGGAACTCCTGAGCTGCAGCTGATGCCCAAGGAGTGGCTCTCACCGCTGCCTTTGGTGCGGCTGGGGGTGATGTGAGCCAGGCAGAGGCGCGTCCTCCTGTCCAGCACTTCCCTCAGGGGGGACTGGCTGTGGCACAGCGGGCACTGGCAGCACCTGGGGGTGAGCAGAGCAGTCAGGGTGGCTGTGCCACCCCTGTGCCACCCTTCCAAAGGGACCCCTGGGGCTGTACCTGGAACATGGTGGCATTAGCTGGCCCAGGGCAGCACTGTGGGCAGCTGGGGTGGCTGGAGGCAGGAGGGAGCTTCTGCAAGAGAGGACAGCAGTGGGTGGGTGCTGTGTGCATGTGTGGGTGGTTGTGCACGGGTGGGTGCTGTGTGCATGTGTGGGTGCTGTGTGCATGTGTGGGTGGTTGTGCATGGCTGGGTGCTGTGTGCATGCTCTCCCGGCCGTGGTTGCAGGCTGCAGAGCCCTCCCTCTCACCGGCAGCCGGGGCACAGAGCTGGGTGTGGTTTCGGGCCGCCGCTGCCTCCCCGGGAGCCGCTGGGGGACGTGCAGGCTGTGAGCATTCCGGAGCAGGGGCTGGCTGTCACAGGAGCTGCCTCTGTGGGATGGGCCAGCTGGGATGTCCCCTCTGAAGTGTGGGGACAGATGGGGATGCCTGGGGAGCAGTAAGGAAGCCCGGCAGGGCATTGGCAGCCTCCAGAGAGCCCTGCCCAGCCCCACGGAGACACCGAGGGAGGCTGGTTGGTGCAGGGTGCTGCCCGGCCAGGGGCTCTGGCTGCCCTGGCAGCCCCGGCAGCACCTTAATCCCCTATTCGGGGGTCCCACACAAGCTTCCCATACCTCATCTGCTCGTTCTCCACCACGAAGTCCCGCAGGAGACCGTAGAGGCTGGGCCAGGCCGGGGTTCCCTCTGGTGGGAGCTGCCCTGCAGGGCCGTGCCTGTCTCCAGAGCCCACCCATGCCTTTGGAGGGTTCCCTGCGACCTCCGTGCCCCTCACTGGCACTCTGGGCAGGCACAGCTGCTGGCGCAGGGAGAGGTTTTCCAGCTGCAGGGCATGGATTTCTCGCTCCAAGCTTTGCACCAGCTTCTCCCGGGACACCTGGGAGGGGTGGGTGGATAAAGGGGTGGGTCAGGGGGGTCCCAGCAGCGGGGAGAGGAGCTCAGAGGGGGGTCCCTGTCTGCAATACCTTGTTGGCCAGGGGTCTGGTGGTGACCCTGCGGGCACGGCTGGCATAGTGCAGAGTGCTCAGGGTCTCTGAGAGGCAGCGTGAGGATGGGGAGATGCAGGCGACCTGCCAACGGGCAAGACATGCAGGTGGGCTGTCATCCAGAGGGTCACCATTCTTTTCCAGCCCTCCCCTCCACGGGGTGAGACCCCTGCCCAGCCTCCTGCATGTTTTACCATCAGGGTGATGCCCGAGCCGCCCAGGGAGCGAGCCAGCAGCCGGGTGAGCTTGCTGTCCCGGTAGGGGACGTGCGTTCGCTTCCCTCGGGGTTTGGCCAGCAGGGAGATGCAGTGTCCTGCCGGAGGATGAGCCACACAGGATGTGACAAGGCTCTGGTGGGGGCGCTCCCCGGGCGGGTTCCCCAGCCCTTACCCAGCGCCAGGAGGCTGCGGTTGATGCTGTTGGCCTCCACGGAGAGCTCCCCGCTGGAGCCAGTCTCCTTCACCCGCTCGCTGCCAGCCAGGTCCACGAAGCACAGCGTGCCCTGCTTGCTGGGACAGGCGCTGGCCTGCAGAACCACGTTGGGGAGTGATGCTTTGGCCCCCATCACCCCTTTCCCATGGCCCACAGCGCTGTCCCGACTCCTGGATCTTGGATAGGATTCCCGGCTGCTCACTCCAGCCCCACCCCGGTATCCTTGAGAAGAGCATGACCCCCCCCACCGTGGGGCTGTTTGCACCCCCGCGCTGAGCCCTGAGCCCCCCAGCCCTGCCCAGGAGCGGGATGCGCGCTCACGGCTCGGCTGCGGACGTGGATGGTCAGAAGGGCGTGGCTGCGGCTCGAGTGCCTGTTGAGGGCATGTGCCGAGGTCCGGCGCCTCTGGGATCCTGCCGAGGGAGGAATTGATTGCATGGCACCCCCCATCCCTGCCCCACCCCATAGCATCCACTGCTCAGCATCCCCTGCCAGACCAGAGCTGCCTTGGCCGCTCCTCTTGGCTGCTGTCAGAGCGCCACCAGCCCTGGGATGGTCTGCGGGGGGCTGAATCCCCCCACACTGGGTCTAGCACGCCCTGAACATGTCCCAGCCCCGTGCTTGTGGCTCAGCACCTTGCAGGAGCAGGCTGACGATGGCCTCCAGGCTCTCGAATTCCACACTGAGCTGGTTCTCCACGTAGAAGCCGCGGGATTTGCTCCAGCGCAGGGGCAGGGCGCACGGTGGCCCCGGGCTCAGCAGGTCCCGGACCTGGGGTATGGCAGGAGGAAGGCACCGGGAGAGGGGGGCAAGGGGTGCCAGCAGGGCCGGAGGGGGCGGCTGGGCAGGCACTCACCTGTTCGTTGTAGATCTCCAGGTAGGAAGCGCTGAGAGCCAGGTCAGAGGCATGGCTCCGGCTCTGCTCCAGGAGGCAGGTGAAGGATCTCTGCATCAGCCCCAGCAGGGCAGGGGACGCCGGCTGGGTGTCGCTCTGCAGAGATGCCAGGATAGTGAGCGGTCACATCGGGCACCTGCCTGCACCGTGACCGGGTGGGGAGAGCTCATCCCACGACCAGGATCAGGTCAGGTGGTCAGCGTTGTACCTGGCCGAGAGGTCCCATCAGGGTGTAGGTCTTCCCCGAGCCGGTCTGCCCGAAGGCAAAGACGGTGCAGGAGAAGCTGTGGAAGATGCTGAGCGTCAGGCACGGCCGCAGGCGGTGGCACAGCGATGCCACCTCCCGACACAGCCCGGGCAGTGCAAACCCTCCGGAAAGGCCCGGCGTGGGCTGTCGGGAGGGTTGGGGTCCGGGGGGGGCTCTCCGGGACTCACCCGTCCATGGCCAGCTCCACCAGCTGCCTCATGCCGCTGCCTTCGAACACAGCCTCCTGCGAGGCGCCGGCGTCGAACACGGCGCTGAAGCCGAAGGTGGCATCGTGCCTGGCCGCGCTCACCTGGCCGTGGGGACAGCGGCGGCTCAGGGGGTGCCGCAGCCCTTCCCAAGCCTGACACCCCCGCGGGGAGGTGGCACTTACGTGCACGGCGCCGTCACCGAGGCTGTGCACCACTTGCTGGTCACCTCGCCGCGTCTCCGTGCAGGTCAGTGGCCGGACCCTAAAGGTGGGGTGTGGACGAGGACACAGAGGTGTCGCTGCACGGGGACCCTGCGGAGCCCTGCTGTGACCTCGCCCCAGGCAGGGAGGTTCCTGCCGCGTCCCTGAGCCCTTTCGTCTCACCTTACCTTAGCACCACTCTCAGACGAGTCTCTCTGCCCTCCACGGGCCCTCCCCGCTCCTCTCCAGGACTCCTTTGGGGAACAGAGGGCAGCAGGGTGGTGGGTGCCCCCCAGCTGGGGGGTTCTGCCCGCGGGCACCCCGGGGGCTGGGGTAGAGGGACCCCCGGTCATGCTGTGCTCGCACCGTCCTCCCACCTCCACTGTGCCCTGAGGCCTGGCAGGGGACTGAGCTCACTGTCCCGGCCATGTCGCCGCAGAAGGACGGTCCTGTCCCCCCCCAGCCTTTTTGGGATGCCACCCCCCGCTGCCTGTATCAGCCGGGCAGTCACTGCCCAAGTCCTGCTGCTCCAGGACGGGGTGGCCTCTGTCTCCTCCATCCCCCCGACAACTTACGGTCTGTCCTGGCCCCGTGGGAGCGTCTTGGGCCGGGGGTCCGGCTGGGGGTTCCCGCCCCGCTCCCCCTCTGGTTCCATGCGGCCCCGAGCACGCGGTGGTCGGGGTGCCCGCAGCGCCCGGCCGGTCCCGGTGGGAGCCACCCTCAGCCGGCCCCGGCTGCCCCGCACAACCGGTACCACCCCTCCGGTTAAACATTGACCGTGCCAGCCCTGCGGGAGAGCGGCGGTCGCACGGCGGGGGGCGAGCGGGGGAGGGAGCGCAAGGGGCGGGTGGCAGGTGGGTCCCCGAGCCCTGGGATCCTCACGGGCCCCACCGTGCCCCTGTACGAGCAGCTGGTGCGGGCACCAGTCCCCGGGGATGCTGGGGAGTCAGTGGGGCTGTCGGGGCTCTGCCATCGGGGGCGCGGAGCTGGGATCGGCCCCGGGAGCCCTTGGGAAGGGCTGGGGCGGGGGGGGACAGCACCGCCCGCTCGGGGCGGTCCCAGCCCGCCGGGGGGGACCCAGGGGGGATAAAAGCCGGGGCGGCGGCGGGCCCGGGGGAGCCGGGCAGGATGAGCGCGGCCCCGGGCACCTCCCGCGCTCCCCAGCCGCTGCTCCGCTTCCCCGACGGGGCGGGCGGGCCGGGCGGCGGGCGGGTGGCAGGCGGGGGCGGCGCCCCGGGGCCGTGCCCCTGTCCCTGTCCCTGTCCGGGGGGGCCGCGGAAGCGGCGGCGGACCACGTTCAGCCGGGGGCAGCTGTCCGAGCTGGAGCGGGCCTTCGCCGCCGTGCCCTACCCAGACATCGCCACCCGGGAGCGCCTGGCCGAGCTCACCCAGCTGCCCGAGGCCAAGATCCAGGTGAGCGCAGGCGGGATCCTCCCTTCCATCCTTTCCTCCTTCCTTCCCGGGATACCCTCTCCTCCGCGGGACCACCCTGTCGGGGCACTGTCGGTGTCTCACAGCTCCCCTCGCCCGTCCCAGGTCTGGTTCCAGAACCGCCGCGCCCGCAGGATCCGTAGCGCCAAGCCGGAGCCGCCACCGCTACCGCCGCTGCCGCCGCCCGGGGAGCGGGGTCCTCCCGCGGCACCTCCCGACGGCAGCATCCCGTGCCCGGCCCCTGCCCTGCCGCCGCCGCCATCCCACAGCCCCGCTCGGGGCCTCCCCACCTCGCTGGGCTCCATCTCCGACCTCATCTACAGCGCGGCCATCACCAACCTGGGCGAGCCATAGCCGTGGCAAGGACCCCTGGCTCCTGGGGACCCTCCTGGCACCGCGCCCCCCCCGGATTAGCGCCACGATTTCATTAGGGTGTGGAATTACTGCCGGTCCCAAAGGCTCCGAGGATGTCATCCAATATCCTAAATGCCGGTGTGGCCACAGCAGGGACAGCTCCCCATCAGCTCCCTAATACCGACTAATCTTTTGGAAAAAATACCTTAATCTGAGGCCGTGTCCAGGGATGATTGTGGCGCGGCCGCCCCTAATCCGCAGGCACGTTCGCAGGTGCCGGCAGATCTCCCTGGATCAGATATTAAACCATGTTTCCAGGGGGGCTTAGCTGCCATCAGAGCATTAATCACTGTGTCTGGCCCTGGCAGAGTGCCCACCAGGCAGGTGTCCGGGTCCCCAGGGCCTGCTGTGGGTGTCCCCTCCCTGCTGTGGGTACACTGAGCTGGCTCTGCTCTCTGTCCCACAGCACCTGAGAAACCCCTGGGCTCAGTGTTGAGGGGTGTTCCCTCGCTACTGCCAGAATCTGGGCACCCTTTGGCAGGGGGTTGGGAGCACCGTGCATCCCTCACTGTGCAGGCACAGGAAGATTTGGACAGGAGATGCAGAGGGAGAGGGAAGATTCACGTCTCTGCAGTGGCTTAGATGCCACATCAATGTTTCTCCTACCAACTGACACCTCCCAACATGCAGGAACACACAGTGTTATTTATTCCCAGAATAAAAGGACAGGAATTTCCCAGAACAGGGATGGGAGGAGCTGATGCCCCTCTCCCTGCTGGGGTGGTCGGAGTCCACAGCCATTCCCTCTCCTGTTCTGCAGCTCTGGGATTTCCAACCCATGATTCATTTCAGGAGCAGGAAGCAAAGGACGAGCCTGAGGAGTGCAGCAGGAACAGGCACAGACAGGACAAGATCTGTCCCAGATTAGCAGCTCCTGAAGAGGACAAAATCCTCCAGCATGAAGCCTGCAGTCCATGGTCACAGTTTCCCAAGGTCCCCTTCGAGGGTTCGCACCATCACGTACAGCTCGGCCAAGCCCACCACCGAGGCCACAATGACAGCTGACAGGACACGCTGGGGACACAAAAGAGACAGAGAGGTGACCCTGGGTGTCCAGCCTGGCCAGCACACAGCACAGAGTGGCTCCAGGGCTGGCTCACTCACCGCAGCTGTCTCTGCGAAGACGTACTGGCTGCCCAGGTAGGTGCAGGCAAAGGCGGCCACCACGGTGACAATGAAGTTGAAGATGGTGATGACAACGGCTTTCACGGAGCGAACTGGGGACACAGGGGTGGAGGAGCTGGTTTTAGGTAAGGCTGGACACAAGGTGTAATCATGCACAGCTGCCTCAGCTGTAGGTGTAATCCTGGGGGAGTCACATGCTTGGTGCCGCCAGAAATATTGGTGAGAATGACCAAGAGGCTCCTTTATTCAAGGAACACTTCAGTGCATGAAAACCTCCTGGTGAGATATTCCGACAGGGAAGGGCTGTCACCAGCTGGAGATGGAACAGTTCCCATGCCTGACCTGCCACATGTCAACAGGACAGGGAGCCACTCACCTTGCCTCCCAAATTCAGCCAATGGCCCGTTCATCTCCTGAAAGAAGGGATTGAAACAGCTTGTGATCACTTGTATTTTCATGTTAATATGTTAATGTTATTACTGTGTGTGCAGAATAAAAGCAATGCCAATGCCCTGTCCTGTCCACAAGACTGAGGTTTTGGGTGGGTGGGCTTTGTGGGGGAGCAGCAGTTTCACAGCACACAGGTTTCTCTGAGATTTTGCACAAGCTCTGCTAAAACCACCCTGGATTACAGATCCCAGCATGGTTTGGCTTGGAAAGGACCTTGAAGACCATCTTGTTCTAGCCCCTGCCATGAGCAGGGACACCTTTCACTAAACCAGGTCAAATCTGGAGGGGTCCATCTTGGCAGAGAGCAAAGCAGATCTTCCCATGAGAGTTAATGTGCCCTGGATGCCAGGTATGGTGTGGAAGGGCAGAATGGGATCCCAAGGATTGCCAGCAGGAAGGGATGCTGATTTGTCTGAGCAGTCACCCTGCCAGAACATCTCAGCTCTCTCAGGAAAGAATGAGTGCCCACATATGATCTTGTATTTTCAGCTTTTACGTTGACATGAATGAGGCAATTTTAAAACTATGACAAAAATTTAACCAGCACAGATGCTCCCAGTCAAACATTTACGGCATGTGCTCAGCCTCCCAGAACAGAACCTGAGATCTTTCGCACAGTGAGCAGTTCCCAAAAGTCAGTATGTCCAATTCACCACCCTATTAACCCTGTCCTACCTCTGTCCTCAACACCAGATCTGTTCCTGATGTGTTTACAGTGTGCTCTCCTCCTATGCCTTCCACATCCCCTCTGCACTGCACTCACTCTAAGGGGACGAATCCCGGCAGCAGGTACTGCAGCAGCCCCTCACCTGGCCGGTGATGTTGCGGGTCATCCGCTGGTACTCCTCGTGTGCCAGCTTGGCCTTGATCCGCTCCAGCCGTGCCACCAGCTCGGGGTTCTGCGGGAGGCACAGACCCACCGTGAGGCCCGGGAGCCGCCGCCTCATCCCGCGACTCCGGGCCGGCCCTCACTCACCCGCGGCGGCACCGGCACCTCGGGCAGGTGGATCTCGCATCCTTCCAGCAGCTCGTGTAGGTGCAGCGGAGACCCTGCAGGCGGGGCACGGGGCGGTCACGGCGCGGTCAAGGCGCGGTCAAGGCGCGATCCCGGCGCAGCGCGGCCTACCTGCCTCCCTCAGCGCGGCGTGCAGCCTCCGCAGCAGCCCGAATGGCACCAGCCCTCCTTCCTCCGCCAGCGCCGCCTCCAACTCATCCCTCAGCCCGGCGGGCAGTGCCGCCAGCTCTCCAGCCCGCACCGCCCGCCGCAGCCGCGGCCCGGCCCGCACCGCCGACGCCATGTTGGGCCCGGCCGGCGTTGCCGGGGCGACCGGGAGGGGAGGTGAGGGGAACCATAGAGACGGCGGGGCGGGGCGGAGCGGCGCGGCCGCGGGCGGGCGGGGCGGGCGGCGCGGGGCACTGTGGGCCGCGGGCGGTGGGATGTCGGGCGGCGCGGCGCGGCGGTACGTGGCGGCGGCGCTGGGCCGGGCCCGGGCCCGCGGGCCGCCCCCGCTCTGGGAGCCGCCCCCCGCCCGCCACCTGAGGGCTCTGGGCACCGGGGGGGCGGTGGCGGCGCTGCCGCCGTTGCTGCTGCCGCCGAGGCGGCACCTCTCGTCGCGGTGAGGCCTGTGAGGGGTTCGGGGGGACAGGGGGTTCGGGGGGACAGGCGGTGAGGGGGTGATTGAGGGTGAGGGGAGTTGGGGTCTGTTGAGTCACTGGGGGAAGACTGAAAGAGCTGGAGGCTGTCAGGGTTGATACATGGGAGAGGAGGGGATTGGGTTAAAGGGACAGCTGGGTGCGGGTGTCCGGGGCAATGGGGAGAGGGGACACTGGCAAAGGGCGGAGGGCAGGGGAGGGACTGGGCTGCTCAGTGCATAGTGGGGCTCTTGTGGGGTGCCCGAGGGACACACAAGGTGGGGAGCAGTGTCCCCCTGGGCTGGGCGCTGCTGCAGCCCCTGCAAACCCTCCAAGCTGCCTCTCTGCTCCCAGGAACCGTCCCGAGGGCAAAGTGCTGGAGACCGTGGGGGTGTTTGAGGCCCCGAAGCAGCACGGGAAATACGAGACAGGCCAGGTAAGGGGTTCTGGGGGGCACTGCTGACCCTGCAGGCTCCTGCCACAGGGATTGGGCAGCTGGGGGATTTCCTGTAAAGAAAAGTCAGCAGCAGAAGGCCGGGAGTTTCACAGCTCGATGCTCCTTGTCTGTGCTGTGTCTGCAGTTTGTCAGTCATCTGACAATAGCAGCTTGATAAGAATCTGCAGCACAACACAACTGTTGTACAATGGCGTTTGCTCCACTGTCTTGCTTTGGGGTTTTCTCCCTCAAGGATCCAAAGAGACAATCAGTGAATTTGAGAAATAAGAACTAAACTTGTAATTCCTGTCCTGAAGACTCTCAGATCTGATCAAAGCAGTCTCTCCTTTCTGCTGCTCTATTACTGCATTACTCATTTAGTCCTTCCCTTTTATGGGATGGAGATGACATGGATTTCTTCTCCCATCCCAAACTGTTTCTCTCTTGCTGCTCTGGTCCATCACAGTGGTGATTCTCCCTGTATCCCCATCCCACACATTAAACTTTTTGCAAATGTTTGTAGTTTTACCCCAGATAACAGATTTTTAAAGTAATTGAGCTGCAATTATTTCTTCCTTCCAGCTTTTCCTTCACAGTGTGTTTGGCTATCGAGGAATAGTCCTGTTTCCCTGGCAAGCCAGGCTTTATGATCGGGATGTGGCCTCTCCTGTCACAGAAAAGTAAGGATTTGAGAATTTGGACTGGTAGATATGCATTTTGTAGTGAATTATCTTTTTGGGGTAAAAAAGTGTTTTTAGTGTGGGGCAATGGCATGGGTTTGTTTGCATGAGTGTAAACTAGGAGAGATCATTAGAGAGATACTCAATACTTAATAATGAAGTATTATTAATTAGAGACATGATGGAAGTATGAAGGATGACAGTGTGTGTATGGAGGAAATAAAAATCAATTTAAAATTATGCTAATGGTATTTTGTATTATACAAAAAGACCCTTTTTGAGTTAGATCCATGCTCCTGTGTTACCATTTGGAGGCTATTGTAGGTTGCCAGTGAGTTGGGTTTGTCAGCTTCCTCCTCAACTTCAGCCCACTAAGCCAAGCTCATCCTTCTTGAGTTGCTGTTCAGTTCTCTCCCCTCTTGCACCTGTGTTTCCCCTGGCCTGTGATGAGTTGTGCTGGGAAGGAGTGAGGATCAGAGAGAAAATCAGAGGGCAGTAGGAATATCCACCCCAGAGAGCAGCCTGCACTGAGCAGGAAAAACCTCTGAGCTGTTGGAGCTGTGTCAGACACCACTGGTGGTCATCTCAGCTTGTCTGTCATTGTGTGGGTGGCTCGT